CAAGTCATGGAATTTCATAGGGCACCCAAACATAAATTTATGGCTAAAAAAAGGCGTGCTAATTGCATTAGGATGACTTGTAGCCACAATTTCTTGCTGTGCGGATGACACCAAGAGTTACAACACGCTGAAAGGTGTTATGGTATGAAAAGCAAAGAGATTAATTATCATCTAAAATGTTAGCTCCAATAAAATTGAATGTCTCTCAGGAGGGAAAACAAAGGCTTGCAGCATTTCTGATAGTGTGTGCATGTGGGTACCGACTTTTACCTTTATTAAAGTCAATATGAAATGGCATTCACAATGCAATTTCACTTCTGAGTGAAACAGAATATTCAAAATCCATCAGAAATTGATTGGATTTTTAAAAGTGACAAATCATGCACAGTTAATAGAAAGTTAACAGAATTTTGACTTAATGTTGGCATTTAAGTTATTGCAATGCATGCGGCAGTTTAACCACTGACTAAAACGTCAGCGTATTCAAATGTTCTGATGAATACAAAGCAATATTAAAAGTGACTAATTGATAAGAATGAATCTTGTGCTGTCATATAAATGAAGTGGCCACAATGGACCGAATCTCCTCGGACTGAGAGCTCTGGAGAATAGCCATGGAGTCATCAATTAATCAGCGGCCCATGTGTTGCTATAGCTGACTCACCATTTCATACATTTCTGCCAAAAAGAATCAAAAATCAAACATTTACAGAGAAAATCAACAGTGATTGAGTGGTAAACATGTTTGAGTATTCGAAAAGGGCACTGTAGGGACATTCAGACCCAAGAGATGTGTAATTTCTTCATTATTAAGACATTTTCTCTGTTTAAAACAACCATTTTTGCAGTTCTCTGGTAATGTTAGCAGCACAGAAATTACACACATCAACTTAAAAAAGTCTCTCCCTTCCAATTTCGTATTCTATGCTCTTCAAAAATGCCAAATCTTGTTTTTATCAAATTGATTTTTTGCTTTCTTTTTCACCTCTCATCCTCCCACCAGCAGAATATGGTTATTAAAGTAGACGACTCACTAACAGAATCCAAATGACCATCCAAAGACATTCCCCTGGTAATTCAAAAAGAGTCTCTCTGATGTGTCATTTCTCAGTTCCATCACCTTCTCATCTTATATCTTGAGAAACTCTGCAAATTTTAAAAGTGGATTTTGTCAACTTTCAGACTGAACTAGCATATTAATGACCTCAAAACTGGACTAAAACTCACTAAACTTAATTTCATTGTGATTCCACAAGATTTCTAAAGGCACTGCAAATAGATAGAGATGGACATAACCTCAGTTTCACACACAGAAGAAGAAATTGAGTAATTTTCTTTCAAACTATTCAAGCCGACAAACAAAAACAGTGCACTTTTGACCATATTTATATAATTTCAAGTTCCCGTAGTGAAGGCTTTTGCTTTTGCAAAGGATGATTGCCTCAGAACTCTTAGACATCTTTACCTGTAAATCTTTCCTGGAATACAGAAGAAATGCATGCTTAAAAATAACCCACTTCTCTGACACAGCAGCACTTTCGCTGCACTCTGTAATTACCAGCAGTGCAATCAGCAGCGTCGTTCATTTCCCCTGATTGACAGGCGGCGACGGCCCAATTGCAGGAAATGTAAAACTACGAACTTCATAACTAAATGGAACTGACATGTGTGCGGTTGCGAGACTCTTGGTGCAACCGTAAGATCCTTCCACCATGTGACACCTGACTGCTCAGCATCAGTATCCATCAAACGTCATCTAAAACACCGCCTGCAACGAAGCGGGAAGGTAGATGTCAAATCTCGACTGTCAAAACCATATGTTGCAGAGTTAAATAGATCTAATGCTTTTGAACCAAAGCCAATGAATCTCCTATACATTCACAGTACAGTCTTGGACTACTTCATGCAATCTTAATATTACAGTAGAGTGCCTTTTCTCGAAGAGGGAGGGGTGCAGTCATCGATTTGAAAGTGAAGCATTCTGAAGTGCTCCACCGCAGACGTTCAGCCAAAGTAATTGCCGTGAGTGAGCTAGCAGAACCGGCCACGGACAAATAGGTCACTTAATAGGTTGTTTACCATGCAGTTGGACAGGATTCATGGAAGGAAAGCAGCAGAGGTCCTGTGGACCAGGCCGTGGAGGGAATTCTGGGATGGCGCTGCGATTATGATGGACAACACATTTGTAACTGTGGGCTTGCTGCCACTTTCGACAGAGCCAGCATAACCCCTACAGAAAAGACCAGTGAAAAATCACCAGCATATGTTGCGTCCCCAGCATGCTTTGCTTCCTGTTGGGTTGCTTAAACTTTACCACCTGGTAAAAGCTGTTCTAACTAGCATTACCAACATGGAAATGCATGCTGGTTTCAGCACTGTAATGGGCATACAGCATGAGAAGTCATTTATGCATATACTGTATGCATATCTGTTTTGGTTTCTACAGTACATACCTGTGGAAGAAAACCTGCTTAAAGGGATAGTTCACCCAAAATGAAAATTCTGTCATTAATTACTCACCCTCATGTCATTCCAATCCCGTAAGACCTTTGTTCATCTTCGGAACACAAATTAAGATATTTTTTAACCACGATCCGAGAGCTTTCTGACCCTCCATAGACAGCAATAGAACTACCACGTTCAAAGACCAGAAAGGTAGTATGGACTTCGTTAAAATATTCCATGTGACATCAGTGGTTCAACCGTGATTTTATGAATCTACGAGACTAATGCCGGCTCCTGCGTCAGCAGCATCACTCGTCTGCGTCGTGGTACTCTTGTGAATGCACATAGACTGACATTTTGAGTAATTAATGACTATCCCTTTAAGCAGGTTTTCTTCCACAGGTATGTACTGTAGAAACCAAACCAGGTATGCATACAGTATATGCATAAATGACTTCTCATGCTGTATGCCCATCACAGTGCATAAACCAGCATGCATTTCCATGTTAGTAATGCTAGTTAGAACAGCTTTTACCAGGTGGTAAAGTTGCTGTTCTGGTTCAGAACAACATGAGGGTGAGTAATTAATGACAGAATTTGCATTTTTGGTTATCATATGCTCTGGGTAATTTTGACCCAGAAATTATTTTCTTTTTCCCCAAAATGGTAGTTAATGTTATAACATTGGCACAGAACTTGGATTTGAACTAAAAATCTCTCATCATGCACAGGTTTTGTATTTCTTTTTGGAACTGATTGCTTGTAGGACTCCTTGATCTGAGCTTATGCACCTCAGTTATTGAGCAAACATTGGCAAAATTATCCACAAATAATGTTTTTTTTTTCACTCAAAGGTGTATAAGCTTAGATTAGTGAGGCCTACGAACAATTCGTTCCAAAAAGAAATAGAAAGCCTGTGCTAATTGAAAGACAACGAGTTGACAAAAAGATTGAAACCAAGATTTGCTGGAAATATAGTATAATGAGAGATTTACGAGCAATTTTTCAAAAGGCTGGTCATTTTTGTCTGAGCACACGAAATTGAATAAAGGACTTCAGCACAGCTCAAAGCTTAACATGGTCTTCTGTTTTAGTCAAGCTGGTTTTTAGTTGTTTTAGCTGGCTACAAAGCCAAAAATCTCTTCAAAACTAGTAAACATTTCAGCCTGGGATACTAGAAAACCAGCTTAGACTGGTTTAAGATATAGGTAACATTGCATTCAAGGCACACATTTGATCAATTCAAGGATTGCATGGAAATCAAACCCATAACTTGGTGTTTCTAACACCTTTCTCTACTATTTAAGCTACAGGAACACTTCTAGGCACCATATATATGGTTCGTTTACACGCACAGGCAGCATAAACAGGAAATCACGGGATACAATATAACAATAATGCTGATTGTTAATTCACATGCACAGCAGACAGAAAGCAAGCATGCTGATTAGCATGACAGAGCTGCTGTAGCTCGGTGTTTACACCTTCTACATGCCAGAAATCTAGAAAGAGTCATTAAAACCATTTCAACTGTGCACAAAAAAGGCTAAAATTATTAAACAATACTATCATCATCAGCTGCTCGTTTCAGAAGGGACCGCATGAAGCGTTGACATCTAACAAAAAATTTTGACAGTTTACAACTGTCACTGTGGTAAAACCCTCCAACAAAGAGAATTGTAGATGTAATTTGCTTTGAGGAAACAGTCAGTGTGCGTTCACTGAGGGCGTGATGGCCCAATTATTAGTCTGTTGACATCCCTCTCTGAAACAGCCAAGAATCCTCTCCTGATGCTTTCATGTGGACTGTGAACCTCAAGCGAGGGCAGAGAGCTTCATGACAACATCGAAAGCGAGGCTGAAGTCTGCATCACCATGGAAACAGTGAAACCATTGAAATGTTGCCGTCTCCCTACCCTGAAAACAGTCCTCTTAGCAGAAATGCACTCCATGCAATCACTCCATGAGGAAAGCATTTATGCTAACAATTTGATGACTGTTTTTACCTCCTCATTTTATCAAGCAATTTGTGCATGGCACTATATTTTGCTCGGGGGTTAGTTAAAGAGCCAAAAAGCTGCTTTAATTTATGGGTTTTGAAGTATTTACAGTGGGGTGCAAAAGAAAAGACCGAGTCCACGTTGAGAACTGTTTTGCATTTAAACCTGGTAATAACAAGAAATGTTTATGATTTTCAAAAATGTAGGAAATGTTGACAAATTAATACAGTTTGTGACCATTTCCTGTTTTCACTGGAGCATACAAGCTAAAGAGTGACAAACCCCATACTGAGACATTCTGAAATTAATGTTCATTTTTCAATTCAACTTTTCATTCAAATTGTCATGCTGATAACATCATTTGTAATGGGAAAACTGTATTAAATTTGAAAAATGCAATTTAAGACACTAATGGTTTCAGATATTGAATGGCATTGATAGTTTCTAATAATAATTCTAATAACCAACCAGAGGACAAATACACAAAGCATTGAAGAAAGACAATGAGTACAGCCCAGAAATGATAACCACGAAGTTGTGTCATATGCATGGGTGTCTCTGTATTTAGCATTTGTTTTGGGTGATACTCTGGCTCGGTAACTCCATACCTTTCTGCAGAGGTTTTCAAACTGCATGGGGCCCGGGACCTTCAAGGGGTTTGCAGAGGAGTACTAGGTTCTCTGTAGAAAAGTACAAATCTGTGTTAAAATATAACAAAAAAATATGTAGAATAAAATAAATGTGACAATGTATAACTGTAAATAATGTAGAAAAAATAATAATCTGAAAGAAAATATGAAATAAAAATATCTGAAACAATTTTTCTAAAATAAATAAATAAAAAAAAAAAAACGCATTTAATCAATTATTTTTCTCTCTACACTATATTGACAGCATTTTATGTTTTAATTTTAGTGTCAAATTAAATTACAATTTTCAAAAAAATTTTACACATATCCATAATACATTTTCCACACTAGTCTTTATACACTCTAAAAAATGATGGGTGAAATACAACTAAATGTTTAAATGTTTAAATGTCTACATGTTTAACACAACCTTCCAGGTAGTTTTATTTAACTCAACTATTGTTTAAATATTACAATATGGCTGGCTTAAAATTAACCCAAAATCATGAGTTAAATAAAACTACCCAGAAGGTTGGATTAAACATTTAACCCAACCGCTAGGTCAAAACAACCCAATCTTCCACAATATATTTTAGGCAGGGGTCCCTCGCAAAGGGGCAATCACATTTTGGATCTGTGGCATCAAAAAAGTAAAACCCTTGCTCAACATATTCCCTGTGCTCTCCATATATCTGAGAAGAGACATTCCCGAAATGTCATAAAAATCTTTTAAAAATTCTGACTCACCAAACAAAATAAAAAATGTAAAAAACACTCATCAAGAAGAAAACAAACTGTTTGCGCTGCTAGAAATATGGTATTCAGCCATAATCTGGATAATCAGCATATAAAGCCATTCCGACAGATAGATTAAGTTTCCAAATAAGGAATAAGCTATGGCTTCTGTCCAAAAACAATGCAAATAAAGTGGTGTTGATGCATAAATTTGGGTAGTATGCTTAAACTTATACAACATACAAATGTTGATATATTTGAATTGACATACAGTACACTACAATACAATACAATGCATATTATATATATATATACATATATATATATACACATACACACACACATTGAAATTACAGCTAAACACACACTGTACAGTCATTCCCAGCATGTCCATATATACATACAGTATATATACAAAATGAAGATGCAGGATGTTTTTCTTGAGTGGCCACACGTTAGCCTTTCAGAGGCAAAAAGGTCTCGTTGTAACCACCCAGGCACTGGCCCATGAAATGGTTTTGGATTTTGGTTCCTCGGACAGAGGCCTGCACTCGAGGGGTGAATTCAGAAGCACTGAAAGAAAAAAGAAGCACAATCGTTTCTGTGTAATTTATCTTTGTAGAAAAAAGGGGGAAAAAATACCAGACAGAACACAAACAAAACAAGAAAATAAAGTGGTTTGGTCTCAAAACCACTGATCATAAAATCCATTAAGATTTGACAGCGCACCAGATTGGAACTAGGGCAGTGAGCTTCCTTCACCTAGAGATGGAGCAATATGGGAAAAAAGAAATGAAAACCAGAGGTATAATTGGATTAAAAGGCAATCAAGCTACTCTAAGATTAATTGATTTCTTGATTATTGGGCCACAACTCTCAGATTTTGAGAGGAAGCAATAGCTGTTTTGCATATCCACCATAAAACGGAGCAGATAATTATGAAGAACACTTCAAGATGCTTTGAAGAAGAGACTTACCTTGAAGTCATTTCACAGTGCCCCTCTTTCAGTGGTTCAGCCATGAGTCATGAGAACCGTCGCCCATCGTCTCGGCCGGCATCTGAGCTCTGTTAAGTATTTAACATCCAGAACATTAGCACAAAAGCCACAGGACAATCCATTCGTCATGTCTCCTCAAAGGAATTCATTATGAATGTACCAAAGGCTCTGTACAAAGACTCCCATCGTTTTCAAGTTTGTCTTTTTCTCATCTCTACTAAGAAACCTATTTCAGAGCACAATTAATCGTGAGTGTTTTGTTCTATTCCAGCACAGGTGCTTTGGTTTGTTGTGTCAGTGCCGACCGTAATTAAGCACTCAAGTTTACTAACTGAAAAAGACTGAAAGACAACCAACTAAATGTATGAAACTAATGACACTTGGGTAGTGCGATGAAATGTATCAACCAAAATTTGGCTATACAGTTCATACCACAGTAAATTTGCACTGCTTTCAGTTATAATATGCAGAGCAATATTGCAATTTAGTTTAGGATTAATTAATGTGCGATCACAGGTGTGCAGCACATGGCTATTTTACAATGGCAATACATCTTTTTCCTCATTTATAATAATATATAAACATACATAATAAATACATAAATATAACATAATACATATAATAAATACATAAACATAATAAATAGAAATAAATATTTTTATATTTTTGTAAGATTACATGACTAATGGCAGTATGACATTATATCCCTATATCATTAATATAATTTATTATACATATCTATATGTAAATTGAGAAAAAATGTTTTTTTTTTCTAATATGAATATAAGTATAATCTGCATAAATCCCTCTCTCT